TCTTTACTATTTTTATTATTTTAATTTCAAGATTCTTGCCACGACTGCATCACCAATACCATATAGTATTAAAAAGTACCAGAAAATAACTGCATTACCATAATCCTCAACATGATCATAAATACAAGCAGAAAATCAAAAATATCTCTTTTCTTTTTATAAGATATATATATATCATTTCATTTTTTCTTTGTTTTTGACCGGTCTCATTATTTATTGGACACACCTTGTATATATATTAATAACATCTTTTTGTGTTTTTGCTTTTTGCTTGTTTTTAGTTTTATGGTGTTTTGTGTATGTTGTGTACACTCATGGACAAAACTTAAGAAAGTTGTACCTTTCAGCATGTATATCGGGATTCAGACAATAACTCTGAAAGATATTACAGTGACCTTTATTGTGCAGACACACGAGATAACCAAGTATGAACAAATTTGCCTCTGTCTCCTAAAAAATGGACAACCGGCAAAAATATGAAACTTCCTTAAATTTTGTCTATGAGTGTATATGACAGTTTTAGTAAAAATTTTAAGTGTAAAATGGGGCAACAAAATCAGGAATTGACGTTCCATGCTACTGCGTCCGACAGACAAAGCACCTCAATTGGCCGGTATTGTGATCAGGGTGCATGAACCGATCTGTTCCATGGACAAGACACCACCACCACCTCAGTTGGCCGGTATTGTGATCAGGGTGCATGGACCGATCTGATCTGGTCCATGGACAAGACACCACCACCACCTCAGTTGGCCGGTATTGTGATCAGGGTGCATGAACCGATCTGATCTGGTCCATGGACAAGACACCACCACCACCTCAGTTGGCCGGTATTGTGATCAGGGTGCATGAACCGATCTGATCTGGTCCATGGACAAGACACCACCACCACCTCAGTTGGCCAGTATTGTGATCAGGGTGCATGAACCGATCTGATCTGGTCCATGGACAAGACACCACCACCAAGTGTGTAAAAAAAGTACGCATACATGCTCTTCCGAAAAAAAAAATCAAAATAACCCATTTTTTCAAAGAAATTCATGATACAATTACAGATTTATTTTATAAATTCGTTAACTATCTATTCACACATCTAATAATAATGATAATAATAAGGAGAGAATAGCAAAATCCCATAAATCATGCAATTAAAAGCAGGTATTCTTATATATATAAATCTCTAACCATCCCTTTCGTCTGGCTATATATTGTACGGCGATGAATGGTCAAAAGAGCTGTTAAAATTCCATGAATACAAAATTTACCTTTAGAAGAACAATCAGAATATCTCTTATGGAAATGAGGTGGTGTGCCGCGCCCTCTTGTGCCGGAAAAATGTACTATATCATTTCCGGCATATGTTTTGTTAGCTTTTGTCCATGAGGCCATTCTTTTGACATGGATGTTCTGTAGCCCTCCTTGGATCGTTCTTATGCAAATATTTCACAGTATTGTTGCTTTAATAGCGTTATTTTTTTTATTTTTTCCAAATGAAATTTTCATAGGGACTAAATGTGTTTTTGTGTTCGTCTGCAATGATAATATGTAATGGTGTGAACATTTTAGCTATGCAAATTGTAGATGGTTATAAAGAAATTTAAACATATTCTATAGTGCCATCTAGATTTCGAAAATGAAAACATTTCGACATTATCGTAAAGATAGAGGTTGCCTAGCCGGCATTCATAGTTCTTAAGATACTTCGGTCAGTAAATCTATTTATATCTATTATACGAAACTTATCATTGATGCTGTTTTGTTTACATATGTTTCTATGTACTCCTGTTAAAGAGCAGAGATGCCTGAAAGCTCGAGATTACATTTAATAAATATAAAAGACACTCATCTCCAGAAACCTGTAGCATTTGTTTGATCAAGGAGATTTAAATCAATTTATAGTTGATGATGGTTGATGTAATTCTGGTACCTTTTCTGTACTCGTGTTTTGAAAATAGATACATGCACCAGTGGAATAGTCTGTGATAGTTAGTTTCTGGTTAGTTATTCACAGGGTGTTAACTATTTAGAAGTAGTTAGTGAGAGAGGAGGAGGAAACAGGAAGAGTCGGCATGTTTACCAGATCTCACCCCCCGCTAGAGGTCGCAGATAACGTCCCTTTTCAATCATCCATCTTCTCCCCACCATTGTCCATTGTTTCAGCCCTTTTATTGGCTCTTTCACGGCTGGGCTTGGTTTCGATTTCTGCCGAGCGACAGGAAGTTCAAAGACCGCGTGAGGTCATCATAAACAGTCCACGCTATTGGCTGTTAGTTCTGATCGTAACGATGATACCTATCTGAATTTGTACATCATTGGTTGTTGTTATCGTTTATCATTGTAAACATTGAAAGTCATTGGTTAATAACGGTGATCGCTTGGGTGATGTCATTGTAAACATTGTATTCCATTGGCTGATAGAAATGATCAGATCGATAATGTAATTGTTAACATTGTATGTTATTGGTTGCTAGCAGTGATTCCATTGATGATGATATTGTAAACATTGTACGTTATTGGTTGCTAGCAGTGCTTCCATTGGTTATGTTATTATAAACTTGAACGTTATTTGTTGCTAGCTATGATTCCATTAGTGATGTTATTGTAAACATTGTATGTTATTGGTTGCTAGCTATGATTCCATTAGTGATGTTATTGTAAACATTGTACGTTATTGGCTGCTAGCAATGATTCCATTGATGATGTCATTGTAAACATTGTACGTTATTGGTTGCTAGCTATGATTCCATTAGTAATGTTATTGTAAAAATTGTATGTTATTGGTTGCTAGCTATGATTCCATTAGTGATGTTATTGTAAACATTGTACGTTATTGGTTGCTAGCAATGAGTCCATTGATGATACCACTGTAAACATTGTACGTTATTGGTTGATAGCGACGATTCCAATTATTACATTGAATATCATTCTTAGATGTGATAGTGCAATGATATCATAGTAAAACATTACACATCACATTGGTTGGTGGGATTTTCGTATTGATGATGTGATTGTAGAAATTGTACGTTATTGGTTGCTAGCGATTGTCTTCTAGAAGATGTAATTGTAAACATTGGATATTATAAGTTTGTAGAAATGTGTGTGCATTGTGTTTTCATCGACAATATTTATAAACATGATCATCATTGTAAAACGAAAGAATTTAAAAGCACGAATGTTTCTTTTATACATAATTGGTTTTCTGTCATTGTAAACAATGATATCGTTCAAAAGTAAACATTTCAAATGTAAACATTGAATATCAATGGCTGATGGCAATCTAAAAATGATATCAATAAAATCCCAAAAGCGTTGTATTCGCTTTTAAACGCGATTTTTATTATTACTAATATAAAATTTAAAAAGCATCACATATCTCAAATTCTTTATCAATATTTGTATAGAATTAGGTTAGTAAGGAATATTGCTGTTTTCAATCACGGAATATTCAAATTAGTTCGATTTGCATATTTCGTTTGGTCCACATACCCGAGTGAAGCCTGGTCATTGGTCGAGTTGAAATATTCACGATACAAGAATGATCGGGTGCCCATGTAAACTGCCATTTAGGAATAACAAAACTTGGGTTTGTGTGAAGTCCTTATATTGAAGTAATTTATAGATCTTAAATATATTTTTTAGACATCCCAATTCATACACAATTCCAACCCCACAAGTAATTTATAAAAGATAATCCACGAGAAGATATATATAACGAGAAAATAGGGCAAAGCTGAAATGTTTTTAATATTGAAACATATTGTCACCGGCTTTAGAATATTTTGGTCCCCTTCGTCTGGTGTAAAATTACATGGAACGCTGTGATGACTTTTTATACATACTCATGGACAAAACTTAAGGAAGTTGTACCTTTTAGCATGTATATCGGTATTCAGACAATAGCTCTGAAAGGTATTTTATACACAGTGACCTTTATTGAAGACATACTAGATAACCAAGTGTGAACAAAATTGTCTTTTTTCTTTCTAAGATATCCCATTTTTTATTTGAATGTGTTGAATATATCTTATTGCGATATTTTTAGAATAGTTTATAAACTCGAGAATACTCTATACCGAAATGTATATATTTAACTAGACGGGTGACCCGGGCTTCGCCCCGGGATTGACCCGTATGCATATCTACCCGAGTGATATATATTTAGATAAGATTTTTTTAATAATTGTTTGTTATTAGCATTATCTATTTGTTTGCATCAGCACAATTTAATCTAATCTTTGATAGAGGGCGCTGTTCGTGAGCTTAGAAGAATAATTTGAATATATAGTTTTAATAATTGATTTATATATTTTTTAAAATAGCCTATCGTCTTCCCCGTATTTTTTTTACCTATGTATGGAAATTTTGGTTTGAATTAGTGAACTACTGCGAATTTGTATACCGGACATACAAACAAACAAACATACAAACATTGATTTTTATATATATAACTAGCGGATGTGCCCGGCTTCGCCCGGGTTTTACCCGAGTGAATGTTTGTCTAACGAACATTTGTTAAAACAATTCTCTTTAAGCTTATAAAACGTACTCGGCTTCGCCCGGGGTTTTACCCGAGTAAAGGTTTGTCTAGCGAACATTTGTTAAAACAATTCTCTAAAAACTTATTAAAAAATAAAAAAGATATATTTTGATAATTTGAAACTCGTAAATTTGAATCTCTCGATAAAGTGAACATTTTTTCCCGGTCCCTGTGTGCCTTGTCATCCTGAATTTTGTCTTTCCTAATTTTCTACATTAGAAAATCATAGTTTTATCTAGTGAACATTTTTCCCGGTCCCTTGAGAAATACTCGATAAGTTGAATAAAATCAATATTAATTGGTTCCCTCGGTAATTGGAAGTTAAAGGAATAGTATCTTCGCCTTGGAATTGTAACATTATTCTTGTCGCAAATAAATTGCCGTGTCATCCTGAGATAATCTTACTTTTGATAAATAATATTTAAGATAACAAACTTAGTGATAAGAAAACTTGTTATCATCGTCACTATGGGGGGGCTGCTTGCGAGTTAAATCCCTGCCCGCCCGCGTGGCAGGCGAGCATTCTACCACTGAACCACCGATGCTTAAAAAAATGGCCATATTTAGGTATTCATTCCATTCCGGATTAGTCCGCGTAAAAAAAAGTTCTTCAAATGAAAAAAAGAAATAGCCAAAAATACAAATCAAAATGCAGCCGAAAAATTTCCTCAGGTTTATAAAAAGCGACATGCAAAATTTGGTACCAATTGGTTCAGTAGTTTTTGAGTTTATCGCGAAACAGACAGACAGACAGAAATTGACTTTTATATATATATAGAGATTTACTCTTCATTGTTGGCTTTTTAACTTACATTAATTCTACATTGTTGGCTTTTTATATTACATTCACTCTTCATTGTTGGCTTTTTATATTACCTTTACTCTTCATTGTTGGCTTTTTATCTTACATTCACTCAACATTGTTGGCTTTTTATCTTACATTCATTCTTCATTGTTGGCTTTTTATATTACATTCACTCTTCATTGTTGGCTTTTTATCTTACATTCATTCTTCATTGTTGGCTTTTTATATTACATTCACTCTTCATTGTTGGCTTTTTATCTTACATTCACTCTTCATTGTTGGCTTTTTATCTTACATTCATTCTTCATTGTTGGCTTTTTATATTACATTCACTCTTCATTGTTGGCTTTTTATCTTACATTCATTCTTCATTGTTGGCTTTTTATATTACATTTACTCTTCATTGTTGGCTTTTTATCTTACATTCACTCTTCATTTTTGGCTTTTTATATTATATTTACTCTTCATTGTTGGCTTTTTATCTTACATTCATTCTTCATTGTTGGCTTTTTATATTATATTTACTCTTCATTGTTGGCTTTTTATCTTACATTCATTCTTCATTGTTGGCTTTTTATATTACATTTACTATTCATTGTTGGCTTTTTATCTTACATTCACTCTTCATTGTTGGCTTTTTATCTTACATTCATTCTTCATTGTTGGCTTTTTATCTTACATTCATTCTTCATTGTTGGCTTTTTTATTACATTCACTCTTCATTGTTGGCTTTTTATATCATATAGAAAATCATCTTAGTTCTTAGTGATAAGAAAACTTGTTATCATCGTCACAATGGGGGAGCTGCTTGCGAGTTAAATCTACAAATCTGCAAATAACTCTAGGGATATTCAAGATATTCATGAAATTATTTTTCAAAAACCTTTCCGGTGATATACCTAATAATATCCCAAAATTTCACGGCGATTGGATGTATGGTTTTTGAATCTATATAGTACAAACAAACAAACAGACATTCAATTTTATATGTATAGATATGCTGAAGTCTTAAAAAAAAACATTTTAAAAACAAAAATAATAAACTATTAAATCTACCAAGGGAATGATAACTGAATCCGCAGGACTATTGTATGTGCGCAAGCAATGATGATAAAAATGTAATGAACCGCGCATGCGCGATTAAATATAGCTGGGAAGTATAAGACCAAACGTAGATTCAAAAAATAAATCTAATAAAGCTGAATATATTATAGCAATATATACACAGGGATATGCAATTTTTTTCTGTTGTAGATTAATCTCTCTCTCTCTTAAAGAGAACAAAATATAAAAAATAAGCATATCCTGACCAAGAGTACATGTGATTTTTGATATAGAGCGCCATCTAGTGGAATAGAAATCAACTAAACATTGATTTAGCTTGTTCCCTGATATTTGGTCAACCCATTTTCTTGATAAATCAAGAAAAGCCATCCACGAACGTCAGCGTGGAGAAGGCTGTACCACTGTACCAAAATTCTTTTTGGTACCAGAAAAAAAAATTATAATAAGAGAGAAAGAAAAATAATCTCTTTATATTTTAATTAATAAAAAACGATTAAAAAGATTATCTTAAAACTAGAAAAACAGACGATAGAGCAGACAAGGAGAAGGTGGTGGTGAAAAGAAGGTACCATTCCCCAACAAAGACATGAACCATAAAAAAATAAAGGACAGTGACATGGGCGAAGAAATATTTCCAATTAAAAAGAAAGAGGTAGAAATGATAACTCCACACCGCTCAATTTATGGCCTTGATCCGAAGAGGTAAAAAAAAAAAGCGAGGAAATGGTGACCTTCCTTTGTAATCTACCCTTTGACCCAGTCTTCTTTTTTTATTTCTTTCTTTTCAGGAGTTGTGACCGTGTGGCGCCATCAGCAAATATTGCTTGTGGAATTTGCTGAGTCTCTAATTGTTCCTTCACGTGTTCTTCTGGAAATGTTGGTGTGTTTGACTTCTTGACTATTCACAGATTGTGTCGTATTTGTTTTACGTTTTTCCTTTTTTTTTTAGTTTGACTTTTATAGATACTGAATTACTGTATTGTCGTATGCATTCTTATGTTAGTTCTTTTCAATTCTTTGTCACACTTTGATGTCTTTTATTGTTGTAAAGTTTATCTTTTGATTAAATGCATATCCTTTTATTTTGCATATCATTAATTGCATATCATATCCTTTTATTTTATAGTTTGACTTTTGACTTCCACAGATACTGAATTGCGCTTTTATCTCGCATACATTATCTTGTTTTTATTCTAAAATATATTTTCACTCTCGATGTATTTTATTGTTGCAAAGTTTACCTATTTATTATTTTCATATATTCCCAAAACCTTTTTATTTTAGTTTGAATTTTGACTTTCACACAAAGATACTGTATTATCGTATGCAATTCTAATGTTATTTATTTAACATATTAATATGCCTATTATTGTTGTAAAGTTTACCTTTTGATTGATTGTATATGTTCTCATATATTTTTATTTACGTTTGACTTTTGACTTTCACAGATACTGAATTGCGCTGTATTCTCGTATATGCATTCTTATGTTATTTAATTTTAATTTACTCACTCATTCTTGAATATCACAGATTGAGAATCTTTTATTGTTGTAAAGTTTATCTTTTGATTAATTGTATATATTACAATATCCTTTTATATTTTAGTCTGAATTTTGAATTTCACAGATACTGAATTATAATGTTTTGTAATATACATTTTTATGTTATTTCTTTTTAATTTACTCTCTCATTATTGACTATTACTGATTGAGATGTAATTTAGTGTTGTAAAGTTTATATTTTGGTGTTAATTGTATATATTACCTTATATTTTTATTTTAGTTTGACTTTTGAATTTCACAGATACTCCGAATTATATATTGTATTTTCGTATACATTTTTATTTATTTTTATTCCACTCTCTTATACTCTTGACTATTACAGATTGAGATGTTATTGAGATTTCATTGTTGTAAAGTTTATCTTTTGGTTAATTGTTTATACAGTTAAACCTGTCTTTAGCGCCCCCTCTTGGGACTCACCAAAATAGGGTGCTATTGAGAGGGGGTGCTATAGACAGGTCACTTTTAATGTAAATCGCATCGTACTACGTTTTTAAAATCGGGCGCTATTTAGAGGGGACGCTATAGACAGGTTTAACAGTATTACCATTTCCATTCATTTTAGCTTGAATTTTGACTTTCACAGGTACTGAATTATAAACTGTATGTTTGCATGCATTCTTGTGCTACGCTCCTTAACTATTACAGATGTCTTTTATTGTTGTAAAGGTCACATTTTGATCAATTGTATATATTTCTGTATTCTTTTTTATATTTTAGTTTAATTCCCACAAATATACTAATGATAATTGCGGATAAAATATTCATAATAACGAATAATACTTTCTATGTATCACCATCTTCTTTGAGTGGCCATATTCTTGAGCCAATCAAAATGCATCTGTACCGATTTAATCCCTGCCCAGAAGTCCTCCTCTACGTGGCAGGCGGGAGAATCAGCACAAGTAAGGGACTGCCTTGTAGTACGGTGTCGTGAGCCGCTACGGTAACCGTGAAGAGGGAACTCTGAAATGTGGCTGACTAACGGGGCAATGGCACCTCTCCCTTTCCATGGAGCAACAAAATCAGAAATTGACGGTCCATGCTACTGCATCCGAGGAAGCCGACGGCCTGCAGTCCGGGGAACCAGTGGGAAATATGTTACGAGGACTCTGAACATCTTACAATTAAACATAAATGGAACTCAGAAGAAAATGGGAGAGCTGAGTAGACTGCTGTATGAACATTTTTTGGACAAAACAATAAGAGACAATCTCCTGGAAAGGTTTTTGGGGTATGGTCTACCATTGGAAGTATTTCTATTAAATTATGCTGCACTAAACTAAAGCATGAGGCTGGCTTTATCTCAACGACCAAAATTCTGTTCCAAGAGGCTTCCTAAGAAATCGAGGAATGAGTATTTAAGGCCAAATTTACGTCAATACGCTGTTCATGTGAAAAAGTAGGTTTCTTTTCACTCACACGTGTATATATATATTTTTTATTTTGAATGAATCAATAAGAAATCAAGGGTTTCTCTTCTTATTTTTCTTTTATTTCTCGAGCTTTCGTTCTAACATGCTCTTCAACACGGAGATCCTGAAGTACAACTTCTATCCAATTATAACACGCCCTATAATTGAAAAGAACTTGTACTTCTGAATCTCCGTGTTGAAGGGCATGTTAGACCGAAAGCTCGAGAAATAAATGAAATAAGAAAAGAAACAAAACCCTTGATTCCTTATTGATTCATTCAAAGTGTAAAAAGCAGGGAAGATTCTTTATTATATTTATACAGTCAACTTTGATAATTCAAAGTCCAAGGGACCAAAAAAAAATCGAATTATCCAAAAATTCGAATTAAAAACGGAAATTCTATTTCGAATAATTGAATTAAAGACGTTTGAATTATCCAAGTTCTATTGTATATATATATCCATATATTGGCATTTTGTATTAAATAAAATGTTTTGTTTTATTCTAGATCCATAATATGCCTTTTAATTAATAATTTAATATGGATTGCTCGATAGTGAACATTGCTGCTGCTGTGATAGAGATGTATGGAGACATCTGAGGCTCTTCATTGGACATGACAACAACAATACAGTTTACACACTAAGATAGTGGACATTGCTGCTGCTGTGATAGAGATGTATGGAGACATCT